ACCCCCATTACCATCTTTACAGGATGCAAGCTCAGGCCACTCAACAAGCTGTTTCCTCATATTTGAAGCCAGGGGCCCCCGAGTTCAGGGTGCCACTTTCCTGCCTCCCCCTTCATTGCCAAGCACACAGCCACTGAGAAATTGGAAGAGAGCTGAGCATTGTCATGTCACATTTATTGCTACAGTGCTGTTATGTACAGGACAGGTCTCCATATTGACTTTAAAGGGGCTCATTTAAAATTTCTAAAGAATCCAGCCAGCTTTGTGGACACTTGTATAAAATTATTCTTAAAAAATTAAAAACCAGTTATCTTGAGGCACTCAGAGCACAATCCCCCTTAACTGTAATTTCCCCCATCCCCCAGTGCTACTTCTTCCCTTACTGGGTTCATCTTTATATAAACTCTACATGTAGCCCTAGCTGGTTTGTCTTGGTGGTAAGAGCATCAGCCTACAGATTGAAGGGTCCCAGGTTCGATTCCAGCCAAGGGCACATACCTCAGTTGCAGGCTCGGCTGCGGTGAGTGTGGGAGGCAACCAACCAATGTCTCTCTCTCACATCAATGTTTCTCTCCCCCTATCTCTCTGAAAAGCAATGGAAAAAAATATCCTCAGGTGGGGATTTAAATTCTGTATGTAAGACACAGTTCAAAAGTCTGCAGGCCTCCAGGGGTCTGGGGTCCTCAGCCCCTGTCTGGACCAAGGGGCAAAACCAAAAGCAGAATAAGAGGGAAACTGAGGGAGGTTCCCCAAGAGAGACAGGACCCAAAAGACCAGGGGAGTCAACAGGCAGAGTTCCCCCCAGCAAGCTGATGGCGCCTCGCTGTCCTGATGGGATTGGGAAAGATGACCCCAGGGGAGGGAAGGAGTCAGGAGGTAGCCCCAGCCTCAAGCCTAAATGTCCTGCCTGGTGCTGGCTGTAGGGTTCTCTTGAGCTTCCCACAGGTAACTCCGCTCCTCAGCCTTAGGGAGTGAGAGTGGAGTCTTGGGGAGAGACACTGAGATGTTCGGTGGAGTGAATGTAGCCAGCTTGGGGTTCCTCTATTTGGTGGGGGCAGGTAAAGGCAAGAAAACCAAAACCCCAGCAGGCCTGAGTTTGTACCTGGGTGACATGTAGGTCAACCAACCATCCCAGTTTCCCTGCAGGGGATCCAGGGACACAGATGGTCAGTGTAAACATGGAACAGTTCTGGGAAGCCTGGGATGAGTTGTTCCCTCTGATGATGTGTAAGACCAGAGGGGACTTGGAGAGGCCTGAGACACGGGACCCACAAGCCTGAGGGTGACCCATCCTCTTGGTTTTGCAGCTGGGCAGTAATTTGGGCAGGTGTATAGCCTTGGGACTTTTCTGGGCACAGGGACCCTGTACCTTCTCCGTGCTCTGTCCATGCCCATCTTTGGCCTCTCCACATCAGGACAGCCACTTGGTGGGGTGGGCGGGGAGTGCGAGTTTTCTGGGTAGGCCTTGAGCCACAGCCCCACTGCCAAAGTGCAGAGAGGGGCTTGGGTCCCCAGGTCAAAGGAATGAAGGATAGGGAGTCTGGAGAGATTCTACAGCATCGTGCTCCAGCAGTGTGGTCCTTGTGCTCTGGAACGTGGGCTACAACAAAACTCCCCACTTTGGAGGTCTGTGGGCTCCAGGGATAGCAGCTTGTGGGGTCTCAGGTAGGGATAGGGGGGCCTGCAAACTGTTGGGAAATGTCTGGGGGACCAGAGTGACATTTGGAGGGGGACCTTTGGCGTTTTCACCTGGGAGGGTGCTGCCTGAGTTGCACCTCCTTCCCTCCTGAGAGACCAGGGTCTTTCTCCTGGAGGGGGAGAGGATGAAGTGGGGAGGCCCCCATCAGGGAAAGGCCCACATACCACTTTACTGCAAAGCAAGAAAACAAAACCCCAACATCTAAAAAAATGACACCCACCCATACTTGTTCTCCCCATGTCCCGTGGCTGGGCTCCTGGGACAGGGGTGGGGGACCTCAGGTTTACAGTGGGGTCTTTTAAATACAACTTTTAATCTGGTTGATCGTGAAATGCAATGCTTAGTTCTAGAAACAGCAGCAGAAATACAAGAGACACGAAACTTTTATACAAAAACATTTGTTGCTTACAAAACATATGCAAAAAACAAAAAGCTAAAAAAAAAAAAAAAAAGACCAAAGGCATCTTCTTTACTAATCTTCTTCTACATTAAAAAAAAAAATCTCATAACTAGCATTTTTATTTTTCTTAAAAAAAAAAAAAAAATCAGGCATAGGCACAATTTGCTGGTGGCTTCTGAAGAACAAGCCAGTTTTTCACAGCGTCTCTCTCCAGCGAGTGATATGTTTTAACTCTTCCATGTTTTATACTTAAGGCATACTTTTTTTTCTGACAAAGTGTATATTTCTTGTTTGTGTTCCAGTTTTTGCCAAAAAACAGAACAAAGAAAAAAGAAAGCTCCTTCCAGCCAAGGCTTATGTAGCAAGGCCGAGATGCAGTTTCAGGATCCATCAGGCAAGTTCCAGGGCGTGGGGGTGGCTGAGGCCTGGGGGTGGGGACAGCAGGGTCCCTGGGAGGCTCCTGGACCCCACTGTCACCTCCAGGGTCCCCATCACTTGAAGCCTCCTTAGGTGTTGGCTCAACGCTGACCACAGGTGTTTGTGGACCAGCTGGCCCACGTTGAGGATGGACCCGACACCTCTTGTGACCATTCCAGGTTAGACTGAGGTCAGGTCACTTATCCCTCGGTGGCGTACCTTTCACATATGCCCAGCAGGGTTGTGGGCCTCGCTCAGGCCCGGGTGGGCAGCTGAAAGCACCATCTGGGGGTCTCCAACCACGCCTGACACCTTTTCCTCTTCTCGTCGCTTCAAGCAGGCTGCTTTGGGGTTGAGGTTACGTTCTGGTGGTAGAGGGAGAACACTGTGGGAGATGGTTCCCAGAGAGGGAGAACATGAGGTGACAAGGATGTGGGGAGCATGGCAGAGAGCCAGAGGGAGAGGCAAAGGCCCTCACATGTGTGGCTGCCTCCATTTCTTGACTTGTCCTCCCGTTCCCTGAGAAGGCTGCGCTGGGCTGGGGGGGTTGTAAATTGTAAAGAACAGATTGGGTGTTCTGGGGGACAACAGAGTTTGAGACATGGACAGAGCCCAGGAGCTAGTGCACACTGTCTCCAGTGAAGCACCATTGGCATGCAGGTGGGAAGGGGTTAAGGGTGGGGACTCCTGGCCTGGGCGCCTACCTCGCACCTGCTGCTCCAGGCCCAGGATGACCTGCACGGCCTGCTGCAGGATGAGCAGTTTGGTCTGTGCCTTGTCCGACTTGAGGTGCATCTGGCACATGCGCCCCAGCTCCCGGAAGGCCTCGTTAATGTCCCGCACACGCACCCGCTCCCGCGCGTTATTGGCCATACGCCTCTCCCGGTCCCTCAGGTCTTTCTCCTCCAGGGACAGCACCTCCTCCGTACTGCTGGGTCACAGCACCAGGGCCTCTGTTAGTTATGTGCGGGGGCAAGGGGGCAGCTGAACAGTGGGCAGGTGGATGAGCAGGACCAGGGTTGTGGAGAGGACACCCATTGGCTGCATGTGCATGTGTGTGACAGCAGCACTGCAGGGGGTAGGTCTGTGGCTTGTGTTTGTGGGTGGGCACCATAGCGTAAGTGCGTGTACCTGGTGTGTGCATGCTCATGTCCATGAAAATGTATTCCTGGACTGGAAACCATAGGCTGTATGCCTATCTGTGACCAGTTCTAGGCAAGGCTATGCGTGTGTGATCATGTTCAAGGGACATGACCAAGGCCTAACTGTTCCAAGGACGTTTCGTAGGAATGGAGGTGGACCTTGATTTCCATCTATTCCTTGTCCATCCCACATGCCCCAGGACTGACCAGGAAGGCAAGGGAGGCCTGGTGCCCCTCCTGGGATGATGACCTTTCCCATTCAGAGCAGTCACCTGCTGGGTGAGGGAGGGCTGGGCCTGCCTGGCTTGACCAGCTAGGTGGGAGGGGCTGAGACTGCCTCAGTAGGCAAAGGTCTGGGGGAGACTCTGGGGCTAGGAAATGGTCTAGGACACACATACCCACAAGGAACCAACCACCTCACGCCCTCTAAGACTCCCACACTGGACTCTGGCTGCCCTGATAGCTGGGCCTGGGGTGTTCACCGTGAACCCTGCCCACAGGCCAGACTCTGGGATGGGAGCCTTAGCTCCCTGGACCTGTGGCTTCCACTCTTAGGTTTTCAGTGGGGGCTCCACTTTATGGAGCACTGTGTGTGCTGGGCACTGAATTGAGCCTGTTGCCCACACAAGAATCTGGAATGGGAGCTCAGGTATCTGCCCACCCGGTGGTCCACACCCAGCCCAGGCCCTAGTAGCTGTGAGGCCGTGTGGCTTTGGATAAGTGACCTCATTCTGTGCCTGTTTCTTTCTAGGTAGGACGGGGGCTAAATGAAATCAGGACACCTGCTACATTCAGCTGTGGCAATAAAATGAAGACAAATGAAGGCCCGGCATGTGGCATGTGCCCGAGATGCAAGAACCTGGACCCTGTTCCTGTGCTGGGGGGCCTGTTGCCCTCACCCTGCCTGCTGGCCCCGGAGCCCAGGACAAGCGCGCAGACCAAACTGACAGCCAGGCCCAGAGGCTGGTGCTCCTCGGTCCCCTTTCATCCCTCAAGTCTCCACAGGGGGCATTGGGAGAAGAAAGGGCCTGAGGTCACTGCTAGCCATCCTGTGCTCGGGCAGCAAGTGCGAGGTAAGGAGGGGCTGCCGGTAGAAGCAGAGATGGACAGGCCGGTTGGAGGAAGAGCGCAAGAGTCAGAGAGCAGAGAGGTGGACACAGGGAACACAGCATGACACGGCATGACGCCCACACCAAGTGCAGATGCGGAAACCTGAGAGCTGAGGGGACAGTGCAGGATGGGCCAGAGCCCCAGCTCCAGTACAAGCGACAGTGCTGCAGGAGAAAAAGGGTTAATGGGTGCGCAGGAGGGGGAGGAGTTAAGGAAGCAGCTGGGTGGGGGGAGGGATTCACCTGGGATAGGGACAGGGTGGGGGCAGGGCAATTTCCATATCCTCACCCAGCCCTGGGAAAGGGGGTTAAACCCCACCTGCAGATGGGGTTTGATGGGGTCCCACGAGGTGTCTGCTTAGAGTGACAACGATGGCCTCTGGGCCCAAGGGGACACTGGCCACTGCTGGCCAGGCTCTGGGGCTTTCCTGAGATGGAAGGGCCAGGGTGGCAGGGGTCCCTAGGGTCCAGGATACAGTTTTGAGCCAAAATGCCCAGGTCTGTAGGACTAGGGGTCCAGAGCCTCATCCTCCCACTCCAGAGGGAGACACTAGGGCAGGGCTAGGCAAAAGGCAGCTGGTTCAAGGTGGGAGGACAGTGTGTGTGGGGGGGCCCAGAGGGGCAGGTGAGGCAGTGACCGGGAAGATGATGGTCACTGCAGGTGCAGGGGTGTGGTCACTGCAAGGAGGAGGTCATTATGAGAGGCCAGTCACTGCAGGGGGGGCAGTCACTGCAGGAGAGGTGGGCTCCAGGAGGGGGAAGGAGAGAGCGCGGGCAGAGGCGACGGGAGGGGAGCGGCGCCCCCACTGACCTCGCACCTGCTGCTCCAGGTTCAGGATGACCGACACGGCCTGGTGCAGGATGAGCAGTTTGGTCTGGGGCTTCTCACTGTTGAGGTGCAGCTGGCACATGCGCCCCAGCTCCTTAAAGGCCTCATTGATGTCTCGGACCCGCAGCCGCTCTCTCGCGTTATTGGCCACCCGGCGCTCCTTCTCCCGCTCAGCCTTCTGCTCTGGGGGGAGAAGGTCGTCCTCGTCCTCCTCTGGGCTACGGGGGTGGGAGGGGCCGGGGGGCCAGAGGGAGACAGTGAGATGGGGAACAGGCGCAGGGCCCGCCGGATGCCTCGCGGTGTGAGCGCCGCTGGTGTGAGCACTGTGTGCATATGCTTGAGTCCTGATGGGTGGGGCAGGGGCCGAGGAGGGGCTGGCACCTGGTCCGGATCCGGGGGGCCTTCAGCTCCTTCTTCTCTTCCTCTGAGTTGTCAGCCACCGATACATTCTCCTCATCCTCTTTCTCTTCCCGCTTGATCTCACTGGTACCTGAGGCGGTGCCCCTGTGACCAAGTCCTGTAAGGGGTTGGGGGTTAAGGTACTGCCACCTCCAGGGCCACTCTGCAAATCCCCTTTGACCCTCTTGTGAGGGGCGAGAGCTCTTCTGGCCTTCATTTGCAAAGGTAGGGAAAAACCACCTACCTTAAACCCTGCACAGGAACCTAATTACAAAGTTCTGAAATGGAAAAGTTGAAACCTTTAGAAGGAAATGCATGGGAGTTTCAGTGTGGCCTAGAGGCAGAGAAATAATTCGTGAAACACTAAAGAGCTGTTCTCAAAAAAGGAACTGATAAATTTGTACTATAACTGAGAATTTCTGATCACTAGGATACCAAAGAAAGTAAGATATGCCACAAGATAGAAGATACTCGTTATGTATAAATCAACAAAGGCTGTATTTCCACAATATGTAAAGGACTCCTACAATCATTGAGAAAACGACAGACTACTCAACAGGGAAACAGGCAAAGCACAGAGCAGGTATTTCGTAGAACCAAAAACGGACGTGGCTATGTGGAAATCTGCATTATTACATCAAGAAATTTAGAAATTTTGCCCGCCCACCATGGCTCAGTGGTTGGGCGTCAACCCATGGACCAGGAGGTGACAGTTTGATTCCCAGGGGAGGCACGTGCCCAGGTGGTGGGCTCGATCCCCAATGGGGGCATGCAGGAGGCAGCCAATCAGTGACTTTCTCTCGTCATTGATGTTTCTGTCTCTCTCTCCCTCTCTCTGAAATGAAAGAAAAAAAAAAAATTTTAAATAAAGAAGTTAAGAAATTTCAAATGAGGCCCTGGTTGGATAGCTCAATTAGTTAGAACATTGTCCTGATATGCCAAGGCTTCAGGTCCTGATCCCTGGTCAGGGCATATACAAGAATCAACCAATGAATACATAAATAAGTGGAACAAATCGATGCTTCTGTCTTTCCCTCCCTCTCTCTAAAAATCAAAATAAAAAAGAAAATTTCAAATGAGGACTATGAGCTACATGCCACACCCATTAAGTCAACTGAATGGAGAGACCTGACAATTCTAAGTATTGCTTATGACAGTATGTCGTTATGACCACTTTGCAAACAACTGGGTGTTATATGGAATAGGTGGTGTACCCGGAAATTCCACACTTGGAACCACACCTGAGAATTCTTGCACACATGCACCAGGAGACATATTCCAGAAAGCACCTGATGGAAGCAGAGTGGGAAGTGACCTATCGTCCTAGGTAGGGCCTGGGCCTGTCCTCAGGCACTTGTAGGGTGGCAGACCTCATACTCAAAGTGAGCAAGCAAACAGATGCAGAGGAACATTGGTAGGATGTTTATTTTTCAAAGTACAAAAACCACGTAAACAGAATACATGGTTTCAGAGGAAACAGTTACACTGAACGCAGCTATACTGAGGTACAAATGGCAAAATGCCAGCCACAGGAAATAGCCCAGGGTTCTTCAATGGATGAGCCATAGAGAAGGGAAGGGGGAAGAATCTGTGGATAAAAGCTCAGGGTCCCCCCTCAGCAATGTTAACACTGGGGCCAGGTCATTCTCTGTGGGGCAGTCCAGGTCATTCTCTGCGGGCTGGTGAGAAGTATCCTTGGCCCCCACCCACCCAATGCTAGGAGCACCCCTAGTCGTGAGGACCACAGATGTTCCCAGACACTGCCCAATGCCCCGTGGGTGAGACTCTGGGTATGGAGTAACAAAATTAAGACATGAAAGCACTGACTTTTTCCTAAAAGCCAGGTTGGCTTTTGGGGGTGGGGCAGGATGGGGAAGGTCCCTAGGCAGGCATGAGGGTGCCTGCTCTAATTTGGGTTGCATGGTGGGTTCCCAGGGTGCTTGGAACATTAGGCAGCCTTGTCACATACCAGTATCACATTAGTGTCACATGATGTGTATTTTTCACAAGTCTGATACAAGGGTGGGGTAGGTGGAGGTCAGGATTGGCCATTGCCTGGTGGGGAGTCCCTGGACCTTTGCTGGGCCTCGATCTCCCCTGCTACAGCATCATCAGCGTTAACTGATCCTGGGTCTGGCCATAAGACCCAGGTCCCCGATCCCTGGCAGGTGCTTGTGAGCCCTGCCACAGTCCTCCCCACCAAGTGGACAGCTGTCCTCCTCACCAAGGGCATCCCCTCACTGGCCCCAGCACCTTCAAACATGTTACCTCTTTAGTCTTTTTTTTTTAATTTTTTTTTTTTTTAAATATATCTTTATTGATTTCAGAGAGGGGGAGAGAGAGACAGAAACATCAATGATAAGAGAGTCATTGATTGGCTGCCTCCTGCATGCCCCCGACCGGGGATTGAGCCCGCAACCCAGGCATGTGCCCTGACCAGGAATCTAACCCCAATCACCTGGATCCTAGGTCGATGCTCAACCATTGAGCCACACCCAGCCGGGCACCTCTTTAGTCTTAAGCCCTCTAGACCTTGTCCCCTCCCACTTCTGCTCTCTGGACAGTAACGCTCCCGGACTCCACTGGTACTGCCCCTGCCCAGGTCCCTCTGACCCCTAGTCAGTGTAGCCTGAGTCCTCACTTTGGTGTCTGACACAGTCCAACCTCCTCTGCCTCCCTTGGCTGCCTTCCCCATCTGGCCTGATGTTCAGGCCTAGGCTCTGCTCTGTCTAAACACTGCCTATCACCTCATCTAGGCTCTTACCTTTGAACTCCATCATGTGTGATGACACCTAGGCCTCACCCTGAACTCCAGACCCAAATCCTATCATCACCTCCACATCAGCAAGTCCTGTTGGCTCTGCCTTCAGAATATCCAAAATCCACCTATTGCACCCTGGCCAGGCCCCAGCATCTGCCCCCACTACCCATCCTGGAACAGAGCAGTACTCTCTACCCCGGTCCCTGGCTCCCACCATTGTCCCTTTAGTCTGTCCTCCCAGCAGCAGCCACCAAAGGGCACCAGTGAGCACTTGAGATCCTGCCTTAGCCTTTCCCTAGCCTGTCCTCCCCAAAGCCACCAGAGGGCACCCCAGTCTGGTCCTGTCCCTCTTCTGCCCATAGCCCTCGGATCCAATCTCCCTCAGGGTAAAAGCCCAACACTTTTGTGTGGCCTACACGGCCCCACATGACCTTCCCCTGTACCCTCCCTGCCCTCACCTTCTCCCTCTCCCCTCAGTAACTCTGCTCCAGGCTTGGTCCTGTTGCAGGTTCTTTGCACAGGTTCCCCCTCTTCCCCTGCTTTTGCTCTTCCCTGGCTCTGCTCCTATGTCACAACCCTGCCACCCTCCCCTCACTATCTTTAAAACTACAACCCAGCCCTGGCTGGTATAGCTCAGTTGGTTGGGCATCATCCCATGCACCAAAAGGATGCTGGTTCAACTCCCAGTCAAGGGCATGTGCCCGGGTTTCGGGCTTAATCTTCAGTGGGGGGCAGGCGGGAGGAAGCCGATTGGTGTTTGGCTCTCATGTCAGTCGATCGATTGATCAATCCTTCCTTCGCTTCTCTCCACCCCCCATCCTCCCTCTCTAAAAATCAATAAAATTCTGTCCTTCGAACCTGGGCACAGCTATGGCTAATTTGTAAAGGGTTGTGGTTCAGGTCCCACCTTGTCTGCAGGAGCGAGAGCTGGTCCCAGACCAACCTTGGGTCTGGGAAATTTGTCTTGAACAGCTGCAGGGGTACAGCAGCCTGACTTCTGAGTGCAGGCCTGAATTTCCCAGGAGGCCCCAGAGCCAGTGCATCTGGTGGACAGCTTCAGACCATGTCAAAACATCACCCAACCACCTCCACAACGACACTGAAGGGGAGACTCAGTGGGCACCTGAGCCTGCTTAAGGAAGTCCTGCTCTGTGGGGAGGGCCCCTGCACAGCTGATCATCATCCACAGTGGTACGTGGTGGCAGCCAATCATTTCATTGGATTGGCCTGGGGGGTAAATCCCTCCCATTGATGTGCTAACAGCAATCAAGGCTCAACTACAACAGGAGGGTCTACACAGTCCACAGGAGGAGGGGTTGCACAACTGGAGTGCCCAGCTTGGGTGATCAGGGAGGCTGTGCCACTGTACCCCTACAGGATACCTACACTTCAACAGGTCACTCTACCAAACCTGGGATAAAAAGCAGCTCTACTTAATACAAAGAAACAAACACAGAAAGGCAGCAAAAATGGGGAGACAAAGAAACATGTAGCAAATAAAAGAACAGAAGAACTCTCCAGAAAAAAAAGTAAATGAAATGGAAACAAGCAAACTACCAGATACAAAGGTCAAAACAATGGTTATAAGGATGCTCACAGATCTTTGTGAGAACTTCAAGGAACTTAGTGAGAACATCAACAACATAAAAGAACAGTCAGAAATGAAGGATACACTAACTGAAGTGAACAATAATTTACAGGGAATCAACAACAGAGTAGAGGATGCCGAGAATCAAAGCAGCCTTTTGGAATATGAGGAAGCAAAAAACACCCAATCAGAACAGCTAAAAGAAAAAAGAATCCAAAAAAATGAAGACAGTTGAAGGAGCCTCTGGGACAACTTCAACCATACCAACATTCACATCATGGGGATACCAGAAGGAGAAGACAGAGATCAAGAACTTGAAAACCTATTTGAAAAATTAATGACAGGAAACTTCCCTAACTTGGTGAAGGAAACAGATATGAAAGTCCAGGAAGCACTGAGAATCCTAAACAAGAGGAACACAAAGAGGCCCACACCAAGACACATAATTAAAATGCAAACGGTTAAAGACAAAGAATCTTAAAAGCAGCAAGAGAAAAGCAGTTAGTTACCTATGAGGGAGCTTCCATAAGACTGTCGGCTGATTTCTCAACAGAAACTTTGCAGGTCAGAAGGGATTGGCAAAAATATTCAAAGAGATGAAAAGCAAGAACCTATACCCAAGGTAACTCTACTTAGCAAAACCATATAGAATCAAAGGACATAAAGAGCTTCCCAGACAAGGGAAATCTAAAGTTGATCACTACGGAACTAGTATGGTATGAAATGTTAACGGGTCTTCCTTCAGAAGAAGGGGGGGAAAAAGGGTAAAAAAATATGAATAAAATAGCAATAAATACATTTCTATCAACAAAATGAATCTTTAAAAACAAATGAAGAAGCAGAACAGAGACAGACTCATAAACGTCAAGAACATTTTGACAGTTGCCAGATGGGGGGAGTTGGGGGTTAAGGTGAAAAAGGTGAAGGGATTAAGAAGTACAAACTGGTTGTTACAGAACAGTCACAGGAAATAGTCAATAATATTGTAATATCTATGTATGGGGTCAGGTGGCTACTACCTAGATTTATCGGGATGATCACTTAGTAAGCTATATAATGTCTAATCACTGGGGTGTACACCTGACTAATATAATATTGTATGGCAACTGTAATTGAAAATTAAAACTAATTTAAATTAAAAATAAAATTTTTGAAGTAAAAAAAAAATTTTTTTAAAAAACAAAAAACAATCCACACCTGCCCTCCCCACTTTCTCGTACCCATCTGTCTGCTCCCCCCTCCCTGGGGTGGTTGGGGGGTGGCTCTTCCTGTTGGACTTCCTGTTTTATTCCCCAGAGCCTAGAGAAACACCAGGCACACACTTGGCACTGAATACATGCCTGTTGGGTGAGTTCAGTTCATTAACTGATGGATGAGTAAATAAGACAGGGGCCTTGATGACTGCAGCATCACCTGCACCAATGCCAAGACCAGAGACGGTTGGGCTCCATCTTGCTTCTAGAAGGAGCTGAGCGGTGACTTTGTCAGCCTTTCTAGGACTCCAGGTGCCTGTGACAATAACCACACCTCCCTGGCCTCCACCCATGCTGACAGGGCTTCCCTAGTTGCCACTGTGCCTCAGTTTCCTCAGTTTCCTCAAGCTCTAGCCAAGCAGTGAGCAAACACTCAGCCCAGTCTGGCTGTTTAGTCTGTCACAGACCCTCTCTGTCATCCCTGTTTTGCAGAGGAAGTGATGCCCAGTGACTGAACCCCAGAGAAGGAGCCAGAGCACAAGTTACTCTGAGGTGCTGGCTGCCCTGCCCAGGCATGATGCTGGAACTTACCACTGTAGGAGTCAGGTGGCCGCGAGAGGTCAGGGAGGGTGGTCGGCTGGTTGGGGAGGGCCACATGGTTGTGCATAAGGCTGCCACTGGCCGAGAGGCTGTCCTCTGAGTGGCTGCCTCCAACCTGTGGAACAGGAGTGGGTGAGTCAGCACTGGTCAGGCTCCCACCAACCACCTGCCTGGCCCCTTCCTTGCCCAGCACTCACCAAGCTGGTGTGCCGCCCGCCCAGAGGCATGACAGGGCTGGCAAAGCTCGAGGCCAGTGTTCCATGGCTGGGCAGTAACCCATGAATGTCCCCCGAGGTACCCACGGCGTGGCTGCGGAGCACATGGATGGCCTCATCCAGGTGGTCTTCCATCTTGTTCTGCTGTGAGCATGGGCAGGTGAGTGGCCTGACTTCCAGTACCCCCACCTAGACCAGTGTGGTGTGGCCTGAAACGTGCCTGTATGTGCCACGGAGATAGTGCTGGACCTTATTCCCAACAAATTAACTACAAAGTTCATTCTTGTCAAAAGGGCATCTAAGTCCTAATGTAAATTCCACTGGTCACATGAGAACTAATGGCTCTTATGGGACTCAGTTTCAAAGTCACATGAAACATGGCCACAGTAGACATGCTGAGCCATCCCCCATGGGCTCCCTCCCCTGCACCAGGAATAGGCATCTCTGTGCCTATCCACATGCATCCGGAGTCTGTCCACAAACCCCTCCCACCCCCAGGATGCTCCCACAAGGGCACACCCAGACACGTAGGAAGCTCACCAGGCTATGGAGACCCCCATCATAGTTGGGCGATAAGGCACCGGGGGCTCCTGCTCGGGGCCACTGTGATGTTCCTGGAAAGGGTAGGAGAAACACGAATTGGGGTGGGGAGAGGAACTGAAGCAGGGTATTGGTGCAGCCTGACCCAGAGAGGGAGTGAGGAAGGAGGGAGGAAAGAATTTGGAAGGCAGGGGAGAGAAAACTAAGTTGTCTATGATACCCAGGCTGGCCACACGGGAGTGCCCACATCCAGAGCTATTCTGGGCCATGAGTCCAGCCAGGTCTAGGCAGTAAGCACTCATGGTTGTGCATCTCCTAGCCTCAGTTTCCCCATATGCAGAACCAAGAACCCCTCCTCCCACACAAGGAAGTTTGCTGGCTCAGAGGCACACAGTAGGTGCCCCAGAGGTCGGCTCCTCCCAGTCCTACTGCACCACACAGGTCTTCAGAAATCTCTGCTCTCACTCCTTCACACCCCCCTCCCTGATGCTCCCAGGTACATCCTTGTAGGAAGTGGGGAACAGAAAGACCTGACCCCTTTGGCAGAGCAAGCATGGGGCATACAATTGGTGCCTAACTAGTATCTGTTGGGTGGACAAACACCCAGGTGAGTGTCTCAGGTTGGCTGCTCTGGTTCTGGGTGCCCCTGCCCTGGTCCTAACTGAATTCCTTGTGCCCCTCATGCTCATAAGCACAACCTGCTGGGTACTGCCTCCTGGCCTTTGCTTGTGTTGTGACCTAAGAATCCTAGCTTAGAAGTTTCCTCCTGGAAGCCTCCCTGGATCCTCATAAGAACATAAACTTCAAGGCAGGTGGAGTTAAGGCCAGTTCCCTAACCCATGGTGCAGACTGACCCCTTCCCACCTGCTCTAGATTGAAGGCAGCAGATGCAGCAACCCCCCACCCCCCAACCCTGTACAGACCTGCCAGCCCCTGTGGGGAACCCACTGGGGTCGAGGGACTAGACGAGAAGTTATTGCTTGAGTGATCCGGAGAGTAAATCTGCAATGGGGATGAGGACAGGGCCACCAGATAGCCAGTCAGAGGCTGGCCTCTCACAGTCACGGCCCAGCCACCCTTGGTACCCCCA